AAAGCAAAAACGTCAGTTAATACAAGATACAAGATACAAGAATAATAGATGATAGATATTTGTTTCATTGATTAATGACCTTTTTACAAATGTGCTACTGTCGAGTTTCTTGCCGGTTTCATCTGTACAGAAACTGCTTTCCGAACCGGTGGTAACTTACGAACCTATTAATTTGTAAAATTTCGACGATTCATATGAACCCGCAAACGTCTATGTGAATAGAGATATTTTGAGGTTTTGAAATTTTAATGAATTAATATTTATTGTTCAAAGTTATTTTGACCACTACTTCTGATTACTGCACCCTCAAAATCAATACGCTCCCCCGCTAGGGGGACCGACCGGTCTAGACGGTCGGATTACCACCACCTCACCGCATACCTCGGCATTTGATTATCTCTGTACGCTTTTAATGTACGCTATTTAATTGTTTTTAATCATGAGATTTCGTCTTCTATTATAATAGTGCATTTCGAAGGTCTGTAATAAAGTCGTTGTTGTATTTATTACGTTCTTTATTACGGAACATAATAATTTTTATATTAATTGTACACCTTTCTTGTCTTTGTCATGCCGCTTATTGACTTCAAGGGTAGTATGTTATTTTACATAAATAGTGGAATTACTACGGAATCGCTGAAATAATTGAAATGGTACACTTGGTCTGTTTGCTACGAGTGCATCATTTTAATTACTCCACCCTTAAAATCAATACGCTCCCCCACTAGGGGGATTACCCCCACCCCCCACCCCTTATCTCGGCAGCTTATAATCCCTCCATCTTATATTTTAGATTATATCTGTACGCTGTTGTTCTATAAAAGAGATTTATGGTAAAATGTTTGAAGTTGAAAATGTAATCTAAAATTGTCTTCTTATTATTCTTAGTGGTTATTCTTTGTCCATTGCTGAAAAGATAAATCGATACGTTTCGTCTGGAAATGTCTGGAGGGGAGGTGGGGGCTTCGTCTGGACCACTGCGCATGTCCAGCGGGGTATCATAGAGTAGAGTAATACTGTAGAAATGAAGTGCTCCTTCGTATATATTTTTTGCCAACCTGAGTTGTTAGCGACATCTAATAACCTTGTTCCGAAATGTTCGATATATACATAATTATGACACTTATGTTTGAAAATATTCTTGAACATTTATTTTAACTTTGTTATGGCCGCTTTTTTGTTATACCGTTTACCAATTAAAATTCGATTGATCGATCGCACTGACTATAGAAAATGGTATTTATTGTCGTATTCTCAAAATACCTCTTGATTATTATTTCACAATATTGATATCTTAATATATTAGCTTAAACACGCATGTTATTTGTGGTTTTTTCTCAGAGTTACACAACTCGACATTTTCTGGACATTTGCTGGCGTTGCTTTGTAATTCTTGCTCCTTTTCCCTAATCTTCTGATTTCACTTCTTAGTTTTGTCAATTTTTTGTACCCAAAACACATTTATATTCATTTATAACTCACTATTATTTTTAAAATTGTACCAGAAAAGGGATTATATAACATTAATGGTAAATCGTATTGAGAGTTATCTGTAAGGGCATTCAAACCAATAGGCGTTCGTGAAATTAATATCTATTTGTTAATATAAATTATGGTTTCTGTACTAGTGTCTATATTAACCAACTACATTTTCTAAGACACTAATATAAGGCCCGACGTTGCCAAATAGTTATGATAAATTAACTCATTAGCCGATACATGGAAGCTACTATTCCATACATTGTCATCCACGATGAATAGCGATTAACCTTAAGTATTTCGGATTGTGGTTGATATTGACGTCCCTTGATATAGACGGATACCCCCCATACCTCGGCAGCTTATAAACTTTCCATCCTTTTTTTTTAATTTTGATTTTGTCTGTACGCTTTTGTTGCATAATAGAGATTTATGGTAAAATTTTTGTAGTTTGAAAATGTAATCTAAATGTAGCCTGCGAATCTTCTATGGTTATATATGTGTTTCTTTATTTTCTTTAAAATTTTAGCAAAAAAATTTTCGCTTAGCGATTTTCATTAGTGTTAAGTTGCGATTGTTATCATGTCGCTCATAATTTTAGTAAAATTATATTTTGTTTACGCTAATTACATTTCATATAAAAATCAATCCGAAGACCTATAGGCTTGCGTTTCTTACATTGATTTTTACTAATCTTATCCTTTAAACGAACAATTCTTGTATATAGTACCCGGAGGACCGATCTTTGCTCGGTTTGTTTTTTTTTTTGGTAAATCGTGTATTTCGGAAATTACATTTCGATAAAAATTACTGAGTAATGAAATATGCATAATATTTTTCTATCTTACCGACACGATAATAAGAAAATATGAACTGATGTTTTTCACAAAAGAAAGAACTTTAAAAAAAAAGGGAAAAAGATAACAAAATAACAAATTGACAAAAAATTAAAAATAAAGAAGGCAATGATCTGGAATCGAAAAAAATAAAAAATAAATGTGTGAATGATCGTGATGCGAACAACGGCCGTCTGTTTTGGGGCCGCCCGATTTCCGACCGAGCTATTATGACATTTTCTCTTTCGGCGAAATTTACCGTCATATTCGAATTATATTTTTCTTTCCCTGAAAACATTTTCTAAAAATGAAACCTAGCTAGATCGATTTTTCGCCCCCGAAACGTACGTACTAAATTTCGTGAAAATCGCTGGGTTTCCGAGATTCCGATTGTATATATCTTTTTTTTTTTTTTTTGACGTACATAACTTATTTCAATTTCCAGATCTAACTATTTGTATGATGTATGAAATTATAAAAAACTTGAGCAATACTATTCCATAACGTAAAGTATCGTTGAAAACACAGAAATCATGATGCGCAATTGAGCCAAATTTACGGATCGCATAGATGGATAACTACACTTATGTCGCAAATCGTCTCCGATTCCAATCGATACACACCGTTGAGGGTCTCCCCCAGCTTTCGTCTGGCCACAGCCCTCCCCAACCCCAGTCTTCGCCCAGCCGCCGTCGGAAGCGGTAGTCTCGTGTACTTCGTCGTTACACACTAAAGACGCGTACGGTTCAAGTTATTTTAAAATAAATCTACCAGATCGTTGAATTTTAGGTACATATTAATCTATTAAAAAAATCTATTAACGTTTAACGGTAGCGCCGCCCTTTGAACTAAAACTAAACTATTCCCTTTATGAATTGTATTTTCGTTTATCCGTTTAAATGTTATGAATGTGTTAGAAAATATTGGATATATGCGATATTTAAGTTCTGCGACGGTTATTTTTCAAAATCTACAGTTCGCAAATATAGTTGAGCCAACGCTCATTTAGTTGAGGACGCTTTGATGTCATAAATCAATAGGACGCGTTCACCGCGCCTGCGCTGTGTGATAGTCCCTTCCTTCTCATCCCACTTTTCTACCAGTTACTTAAATATGTTTTATATGTCTGCCTTGTGTGTTAAAATTGTTATATTTCACGTTTGCAAAGTTTATAAGTTATTGAAAAAGAACTTCGGAGTTCTTTGTTATTATTACTAGAGACCAAGTGTATCTGTCAATCAAGGGCTTGATTGACAATTATTATCTTATCCTTTAAACGAGCAAAAATATATATATATATATATATATATATATATATATAATCGGAATCTCGGAAACGGCACCAGCGATTTTCATGAAATTTTGTATGTGCGTAGATGCGGGGGCGAAAAATCGATCTAGCTAGGTTTCATTTTCAGAAAATGTCATTTTATCCGTTTTCAGGGAATGAAAAATATAATTCGAATATGACAGTAAATTTCGCCGCAAGGGAAAATGTCATAATAGCTCGGTCGGTAATCGGGCGGCCCCAAAACAGACAGCCGTGGTTCGCGTCACGATCATTTACACATTTATTTTTTTACTTTTTTCTCGATTCCAGATCATTGTTTTGTTTATTTTTAATTTTTTGTCGATTAGTTATTTTGTTATTGTTTTCCCTTTTTATTAAAGTTCTTTCTTTTGTGAAAAACATCAGTTCATATTTTCTTATTATTACGTCGGTAAGATCGATAAATTTAATTTCCAAAATACACGATTTACCAAAAAAAACAAACCGAGCAAAGCTCGGTCCTCCGGGTACTGAGTTATTTATAATAGTAAATTTAACAATAAATTCATTTTAACAAACAAACACATTTTTATGTTAAAGCATAGTAATTAAGCGAAATAATTGATTTTTAGCACGATACTGGTTTTGCAATATTAGAATATACCTTCCGCACTATTTCTGTAACGAGTGAAGTAATAAATAAATGTGGCGCTGCCTTGCCATGCTATTTTATAAGAATGGCGAGTTTTCCCTTTTGATGCTATAAATCAATAGGGCGGTTCAGACTCCCTCTCTTCTGTACTCTATTAACCGCCCTCAAATTTATGGTTCATATTATTGTCAAAAGAACATAAAGGACAATAAATTAATACTGAAGATGAAATTTTGTTTTCATTTATTTGCGTTTGTCTTTTGTATAATTAATGACATCCAATAAATTATTCCGTATTCTCATTTAAGAAAGATCCTTTCTTCTTATTTTCTATTAAAAGTAGCCACAAAAGCTCAGAAACAACGTTTATAAGCAATATTCACCACTTGCTAATATGCATTTTCGGTGTAATTGTCGTTGTCGGAAACTAAACTTTAATTAGAAGGCGATAGAGTAAAGGCTTTTGATATGCAGTAATTGCGCAATTTATCCTGCGCGCGCAACTTTGGCAATCGATACAACTGTCGGCCATCCCTTCGCGCCGGCTAGTCTCGTTTCTATCGTCATCCGGGGCGGTGCGTCCGTAGAAATTCCTTTACCTTCACTTAAACTTGGTCTGTTGTTTTAATAGTGGATCATCAAAATCTGGACCTTCCAAATCTCGATTTAGTGCTTAATAATGGCTCGCGAGTTGCACCTCCACATGCTTCCTTGCGGTCCCGGACGCCCTTCAAACCGATACCCTGTGGTAACCTGTGTGAGAATGGCCGTATTAAATGGTATGTGATTGGTATTAGATTATTTAATTGTGATGCTATTGTAAACAACGCCATTTTGTCGGAAGTTAAAAATTATTTATTTGATCTGCAATATAGGAAAAAAAATTGTTTTGTTAATATTAGCTTTGTATCAAAATAATATTGTGTTAATCGCTTCTCCTTTGTCCACATCTGAACAGATATATATATATACATTGTCTGTAAATGTCTGGAGGGGAGGTGGGGGTTTCGTCTGGACCACTGCGCATGTCCAGCGGGATATCATAGAGTAGAGTAATACTGCGGAAATGAAGTGCTCTCTCGTATATATTTTTTGCCAACCTGAGAGCGACATCTAATAACGATGTTCCGAAATATTAGATACTAGCTGTTGCCCGCGACTACGTCCGCGTGGAATAGGGTGAAATCGAAAAATACAGACAGATATTTATACATATAATAAAAATGTAACTTTTCTTTGTCTGTACATGGAAGACATTTGAGAAAAACTATTATTTTAGATCTCCTTTATCAACGCAATAGAATCCAAAACACTGGTTGTAAAAATTGTTGTCTGTCTATCTGTGCTTTTGTGCAGACTAATCTCAGAAACGCCTTAACTGATTTGGGTGCAATAACTTAAATAATGCATTGTGTAGTACTTCACATAACATTTAGTGCTAAATAACAATGTAGAAAGAAGGCGTTAAGATTTTCGTCGCTGTGGCTATCAGCCGTTTAGCTCAGTGGCTAGAGCGTCAGGCCGCGAATGCCGAAGACGTGGGTTCGATTCCCACAGCGGCGACAATCTTTTCGTACTTTTTCTACATGTTTTAATGTTCAATATTAGGTGCAGAGATTAGCACTATAAAAAACTTTAAAACATTTAGTGTTAGTTATATTCAAATCGGTTCATAAATAAAAAAGTTATCAACTTAAAAAACTTAATAGCTACAGCTGAATTGGATGAAACTATAGTTAACTATAATTATATTGTGGTCTGTAAAATGATGATGATTTTTAGATTACATAAATTTAAAAACCAGCCAAGTGCGAATCGCAATCGTGCACGAAGGGTTCTATACCATAATCTATAAAAAAGGCAAAAAAAGTCATGGCTGTTGTATGAGAACTCCATTTAAAAAAATATTATTTTTTTTACTTGTTGTTATAGCGTCACAGAAATACACCAGTTTTGCCTTTTGGGTAAAAAATTACTATGGACCACACAAATAATTGTCCCGTGTGAGAATCGAACCCATGCTGAAGGCAATTCCTTGACAACTGCGCCATGGTCAGTGATCAGGCGGTATATGAGACGATCTCAGCTTGAATTATGTGTCTTTGTAGAAAAGTTACGTTTATATGAAGTTAATTTCATATGAAGTTGAAAATGGAATCCACCATTGCACAATTTTACACCGACATTACGCGGGATTCTATATGCAGAAAGGCAACTTGCAGTAAGCAAATTTAAAAACTCAACCGGATAATTTGTGGCTTGGTCATTGCTTGCAGTGAGCATAATGCGTTCACATAACCTAGAATTATTATCCTGATATCATCAGGAAAATTCTTGGTTATGTGAACACTTGAAAGTTCTCCAAATACTGAACTTATCAGTTTATTTTAGGAGAAAACGACTGTACTAAGCATTATGTCCGCAAGACACACCTCTCTTTCTTTTTAATTCTATCGAGGCATTTTTGTAATAAAAACTGTAAAAAGCCGATACCGAATCTAATAATTTTTTACGTTTAATTATTTCGAAAATACTACAAATAAGTATCTTAATTAAAAAAAAAAATATTTCAGATACAATTTGCGAGTCAGTGACAAAAAACAAACAAAATTTCCAAACCACAAAGCAGTTAGTAATATCTGAATATCCTAGCCTAACCAAATCTATATTCCTAAACAGTTACAGATTTGTCCGTTGGTCGCCCTAGGCTCATTAAAGATTAAGAGAAAAGACTCGATGGAAGACACAAAAATTTAAACAAAGAAAGTACATGATATTATGGAGCCGACGAATGGTACCTACATATCAGGCCCGCTTGATTTGTTACCTATGGATTACAGAGGGAAATAGGATTCTTCACAGTGGTACAATACGGTATTATAACGCCATTTAATTTTTCCAAGGGGAGGCTATTCCAGTCAACTCTTGAAATGAAACCAGCACCATCAATAATAATAGCCTTAATTTACTTGTGATAACTTTCGTTCACACGCGATTGAGTATAAGTCTTCATGCGCAGTGATTGTGCAGTTTTGGCATTCGACGCAACTGTTGGCCGGGGAGCAATCGCGTCGAAGGGTCAGGGAGTATGGGGAGCAAAGTGTACTGCGCATGTCGCCAGGCCGCCATTTTGAAATCAAGGCACCGCACCGTGAGTGTTGTGGTGCGCAGTTATTGCGCAATTTGGCCTGCGCGCGCAACTTTGGCAATCAATACCAATGGTCGGCGGGGGAAGTTCCACCCGTCTGCCAGTCTCGTTTCACGCGCAATCCGGGGCGCTGCGTCCGTAAAACTTCCTTCAGTTTAACTTAAACATTGACTTGTGCTCGGTTTATTGTTTCAATCGTGATATAAGAAAGAGGTGGACATTCGGAATCTCGAGCATGCCGCGCCGGATGCACATCCACATGTTTCTTTGCGGTTCCGGTCGCGCAAGGATGGAATCTGAGATAATAGTGAACATAGGTAGGAACCTGGTTTAGAGTGTTTAATTGTGATGATAATATAAAAAAGCCATTTATTAATGAATGTTTTATTTATAAGTAGTTTGGCGAATATTCGTTTTTTCACGGTATATTAATTTAAGTTAACGCCTGCCATATTGAAAATATTATAGGTTAGTAAATAGCTTTGCTTTGAAGTAATTTATATATGCATTGTGTTAATCGCTTATCCTTTGTCCACTGCTGAACAGATAAATCGATACGTCGCTTGTCGGGAAATGTCTGGAGGGGAGGTGGGGGTTTCATCTGGACCACTGCGCATGTCCAGCGGGGTATCATAGAGTAGAGGTCTGGACCACTGCGCATGTCCAACGGGGTATCATAGAGTAGAGGTCTGGACCACTGCGCATGTCCAGCGGGGTATCATAGAGTAGAGTAATACTGCGGTAATGAAGTGCTGCCTCGAATATATTTTTTGCCAATCTGAGTTGTTAGAGACATCTTATAACGTTGTTCCTGAAAATTTGGCATACTGATATATGTAGATGTATATATATATATATATATATATATATATATATATATATATATATATATTTTATATAATATGCAGCTACCCATTTTAATTAACTTACTCTATATAAGTAATTCGCCATTATAATATTGAACATAAAGAAGTTCTGTCATAGGAATCGAAGTAATTCGACAAGGTTGTTCATTTCTGAGTTTCACTTTATTTTATTTTTAACAACAACTTCCAACAATGTTTAAAGGTGAATAGTATGACACTTATGTTTGAAAATATTCTTGAACTTGTATTTTATTTTTCTCATGCCCAACCGTCATAACCGTTTGCCACATATATCGATTGATCGATCGGTACTACTATAGAAAATGGTATTTATTGTCTTATGAACAAAATACCTTTTGAAATATTATTTTACAATATTGAATTCTTATATTAGCTCAAACACGCATGTTATTTTTGGTTTTTCCTCAGAGTTACATCCTCGACATTTTCTGGGCATTTGCTGGCGGTATTTTGTATTTCTTGCTCCTTTTTCCTAATTTTCTGGTTTCATTCTTAATTTTGTCATTTTTACTTAAAAGTTGTTAGATTTCGGTACCCAAAACACATTAAAATTAATTTATAACTAACTTGTTAGTGTTAAAGTTTGTGTGGGTTGTACTATTTAAAAAAAATAACAGAAGAGGGATTATATAACATTCATGGTAAACCGTGTTGAGGGTTATCTGTAAGGGCATTCAAATCAATAGGCTTTCGTGAAAATATCTATTTGTTAATATAATTTATGCTCTCTACACTATTAATACGTGCAGCATCTGCATATTTTATTTATTAGTATAATAAATAACAACATTTCTAACACACTATTACAAGCCCCAACGCAACCAAATACTTTTTATGATAAATAAACTTATCAGCCGATATATGGAAGCTACTATATCAAACATTGACATTCACGATGAACATCGATTTATTCAGCATAATTCTTAGCAGGGATTTTTTGTTGATGAGATTTTTAATATGGGTAAGTCACGCAACGGCCCTCCTGTCGCCTAAACGAACATGCTCAAACGGGGTATTAGTATTGGATTAAATAAGAACCTTGTAAAGTAAGAGTATGGTCATTTCCCCTTTCCTTTCGTGTGTAAGGCAATAGATCGGTAAGGCTGATGCAGTGAACCGAGCACTATCAATATCTAAAGGCGGTAGAAATCACTTAGCACCATATGAGCCAGGAGAAGGGGCAGTGGTGGCTTGCCACCTTTTTCTATGGAAAAAATACACTACTTACCTTCGCCAAATTTGTTAATCTGTCAATTATAATTGACTTTAATTATAGCAAGATTGAAAATGGCCTCTGCTGAACAAGTTTATTTTCAGTTCACAATATAAGAAGGGTGACCTATTCTCCGAAACTATTTGCCGTCCAGTTATAAAAATTTGTTAGTAAATGGAACTGTTTCTACAGATTTATCGTGTTTATTTCATTTCCCTACGCTGGTAACACTGAGGCGTGAGACATCTCTGTAATAATAATTTAGTAATAATTAGTAATCGCTTAAATATGAGAAATTATTATATACTCGTTATCTAATGTCAATGTAACACTGTAATAAATGTAATTAACTGTAATTAAATTGCCGCATGTAATCTAAGTCAAGCTAATGTTAATTTTTATTTGTTCACAGAATCCGAAGAGGAGCGAGAGAGGGCACCGGAACCACCTCCAGAAAACAAAACCCGGGCGTCTCTGCGGTCAAGGTAAGATTAGTCATAGTTACTAGTCTTACAGAAACGTAAGATTAAGAATCTGGCGGAAGACTGGCGCGAATGCGAACTCCTGTTTTATCATGACGCGAGCCATGCGCATTTTCCGATGAAACAAGAGAACTTATAAAAATGCACGATAAGGAAGCAGCGAGCGAACGATTTTTAACTTTTAATGAGTAATTTTTTGTGTGCCTCTATGACGCGAACAGCTCTAGCGGTAGTAATCAAAGATTCGTTTCTATTAAAAAGTATTATAGTTTATGTATATTTTCCTATATATTTATATTTATTTTTTACTGGTTTAAACTTTAAAGTTGCAAAAAATGTCAATGTTCTTAAAATGTTTATAGTTCTTACTACTATGCACAATTTGGATTTTTTTTTCTTGCGAGCAACATTTTCAAACATATTCCCTTGAATTTAGATCTCTCTTTTAAATTATTAAGCATTATGTAAATTGTAATTGATATAGTACCTTACATAAATGATTTTTTTTATTATTTTTTTTTTACATTACCCTCACTTTATGATAACATTATCCTGTGTTGTAAGGACGTTTTACAAACATAAATTGCACGAGGTCAAACACCCAGATGCGAAACAACTATCTGTGGGTCGCACAAATAGTCGTTCCGTGTGGGAATCGAACCCACGACCCCCGACGCCGAAGTCATGAAAAAAAACACGAAAAATGGGGAAAATTATTTGTTTTTAAATAATCAATATTCTTCTCATTGGACATTTTATAGTTTCTTTCTTTTCCTATTACAGGATATATTTCTTAGTTTTCCTTAAATGCAGAGAAAACTTGCACTAAAAGTGAAGTTAGTCTTAAAAAAGCTTAGAAGTGTATTTTTTTTTCTATTTTTAACAAACGAACAGCAAATAACCGAACACAGCATATCTCTGCATAGTACAGACGTGTAGGTCAAGACTTCTAATGGATTTTTTTTATGTTGATACAATTATCAATGTCAATCCGACATTTTTCTAGTGTTTATTTTTCTTTGTTTGTTTCCTTTGTTTAAGGCCTTTGCCAGCTATGTGACACATTGAAAGAATATACTAAAGTAACTAGAAAGTTACTTTTTACTTTCGATGTCCGTTTAGTAGATATATCGGTTTTTCATGTAAATTTATTAGTGTGACTATTTCAATCCTGAAACTAATACTCGTAGTCATATAGATGTTTATTGTCCCGGACTGGTGTGAACATGATTTATTCTACTAATTAGTTAGGATCTCTCACGAAGATTTCAGCATTTCCCGTGAGAATTCCGAAATGTTCAATTGTTAGTGTCTTTATGGTGCTACGTCTTTAAACACTATCAATCTGAATCCCTTGAGGAAAAATAATTAATTTACATTATTTACGCATATATGCGTAGACAGTAACTTAAGCCAAAGAGCACGAAATTTTCCCCCGATTCCGTAACCTTCTCATGAGCGCCTCTTTAACCTAAGTTACTATCTACGCATATACATACTAACAATAAAATTTATCCAAGTGTAAATTGGTAAACTTACTAATTTACACTCGGATGATTTTTTTGTTAGTGTTGGATATATATTTATTTTTAGTATTTTATGTATCTTCGGAGTCGAAACTCAAGTTCCAGTGAAATTAATTACAGTTGAATATTTTCCATTTTTTTAAAGCAAATTATGCACGTAAGACTATTCTCACAAAAAGATGGTGCTGAAATCAATAAATACGTAAAGACAAGAGTTTAAAGTAAATTTATCGTTAACAATAATAAACATCTGTGTTTTCCATCCGATGACATACTCTGGTATGCAATGCTTACAGTAAAGTCAATAGTATCTAACGCTTCCTTAAATTTAAAATATCTTTATTCAAATAGACGCCTGCGCGTTCTTATCAAACGTCGAATTTTACATAAAAATTAATACCCATTCGTGAGGTACCACATTACAAAGAAGCACATCAGTTTTACCCCTTTTTACATTGGGAGTTGCAAATTTAATACATTTAGTTTTTTACTATTAAACATTAAGTTGTTAGCACTAATCCAATGCACTACAGTGGAGAGAGCATTGTTAAAATCGTCATAATTAAGGGAATATCGTTTTACTTTAAAAATTAAATAAGTATCATCAGCAAACCATACTTTCTCATGATCATTATTAACAAGGTAGGGTAGGTCATTTGAGGAAGAGTAAAGGTCCAAGAAAGGATCTCTGTGGAGCCCGCATACTAACCAGGGCCCCACGATATCTCTTTTCGTTTGAATATAAAACTAAACTATATCAAGTTAAAAATATAGAAGGAGTGAGATCTCACCAATCAGGCATAATAATAGTTACAGTAAGAGTTAAGTATACATTAAATTAATTACTGTCACAAAGCAGTATATAAATATAATCATGAGTTTAATGGCTAGTTAGATTAGAGCAAACACATACCAGAAGGAAACATAACCAGGCTTGCCTTCGCACTTTCCAAATAAGGCTGAAGACCTCAGCTCAGCAATGCTCACATGCCACCGAGGGGCATTCAGCTAGTCCGCGGCTTCAAGTTGCACGTGGACAGCAGGACCTCAGATTCTTAATATATATGCAGTTGCATACAAGGCGAACACGCGGTTCGATATCAAGCCATCAGAGAGAAGCAGATCAGAGTGATACGAGGTAGCATTAAAGAAGAAAGAGAAACCAATAAAAAAAACCACTGTAACAAAATACCAATTGTTAAGAAACGAATGATGGACCGAAAATAGTCAGATCCCAAAAATATATGCACAAAGGAAACTTACCAACGATGTGGGTTTTTTTATATAAAATATAAAGGCCGAGAAGCCATATACAAGTAGGATGTAAAAGGATGTGGCCTAGGATGCCACATACTCCTTTCCTACATTCTCGAACTATGCAGAGGCGCTGCCGCCAGGCGGCGGCCGCCTCAGAGCTCCAATAAGAAATGATCAAGACGAAGCTGACTGCCGTTCTCGCAGGAACCACAGATGATACAAACAACAGACTATGCTAAACAAGACAATGTTTCTAATCGAAAATTATGTAAAAACAATTTTGCTTGATATCAGTTCAACATAATTAAAATGATAGTATTTTATATTTATATTTTATTGTCTTATATATTATATATAAGACAATAAAATCACTAGTACCGAAATAATCTAAGGAAATAAACAAAGACAAAACAACAAGGTGACCTAACGCTATCTATGATAAATGAAATATAGATTTTCTAAGGATCTCATTCAACTAAATTATATTGTTCACGATAGATATCGCTATACGATCCACTATGGATTGCCAATATAAGGCACTCGAATCTTAATCTAAAGTGTTACAAAATCACAGAATAACCTGTGACTCTTCCCAGGTTTCAAAAATGTTCTTAACAACCTGATTGCCCGCATCCATTGTTGAGCGACCCCTAGTAAATCCATATTGCTTATTGAAAGAAAGAAAGAAAATCCGTTTATTTACAAAAAAAATGACGCACACAATAAAAGAGAAAAAAAAAACTAAAATTGACAAAAAATGAAATAATAAAAAAATACTTATAAATAATTCAGTAAAGCAAAAGAACACAAATATATAATAAAAATATGAAACAAATAAAAAGAACTTTAGCAACAAAAATATTGTACGCCCTATTCCGGTAAATTAGGTTAGCAGCATTATGCTATGCCAGAAGTAAATGCCCCAACACAGCGCTGATTTTCAGTGCTAACGTTCTAGCTTCGTAATACTTCGATGCCTTACTGACCCATACACAGCAAAGTAATACTAATACCAATTATTATTTAACTTATTAAAATTAATTATACATCAAAAGAAAATCTTTACAAAATTATCAATAATTGACTATCACAAACATTAACAATATGGCGGATGGCGGATATCGGATAACCTCTCCACCATGCGCTCCGTCTAAAAGAAAATTAAATTAAATTTTATATTACCGTGTCGAAATTATGAACAATTCTGTTATAAAAATATAATACGATGTATATACAAAGACACAAAAACAGTAAAATAATAATAATTAAAAAGAAAATATATGTACTGTATATGGAGATAAGACAAGCTATCGATTGCTTATTAAAAATAGAATAAATTGATAAAAATAAAAAAAATAACGTCATCGTTCTTGTGAACAGTAGAGAATTTAAAGTTTTATTCACTTTCCATAACACTTTTCTTTTTTTAGTAATGATTCGGCAACTGTCGGAGAAGATAGAAGTCAGGAAGGTAGGAACTGAAATGTCAGAGAAAAAATTCTCTAAAAATCAACCTAGAGGAAGCAAAATCAGGAGATTAAATTTAATAGTATTATTACCATCAGTTAGATTGAATTTCTTTGCGTTAAAAATCTTAAACAGCTATAGCAAGATGCACATGCGCGGCGGCCCGAGCAATCAATCGATGCAGCTCTCGGTCACACTCGGCACCGGGCACGCTGCACTCGGCACAATCTCGCCGTGGTCATCTTCCTGAAAGGTGTAGCCATTTCCGCTGTAGTTAAGTCCCTTATTTGTCGGTGTTTATTTTTGTTTGGTGTCAAAACAAAATCTAAGTAAATTTTAAATATTTTTAAGGTTTATGCTTACCGAACGCAATAAATCAATACATGGGCGTCGGTCCAGCAGATCTCAAGATCGTTCGTTCGTTTTTCAATTGTTTGCTTTCGCGTCTTCGTGTCTTCTTTTAGAACAAAGCGTTTCGGTCTATTTATATTAGCATTTTAAATACTTTATTTTCGGTAAAGATGTGTAATTTAACACCGATATCACGACCGATATTCGGTAATGCCAAGCTTGGTATCCGACCTAATTTGTCAATACAGATTTCAGCCATGACCAGTGCAAACTTTTGCTAGTCGACACTACCTTTATTCTGCAGCCCCTGACGCTGGAAATTTTCCATTTTCACATAGTCGACGTCGTGAGTGGTATTTTAGTTTATAACAAGCGGTATTTTGTACTTTTAACGATGGATTT